TTTTTTCTTAATCTTGTGCACCTCTATCACAAATGCTATATAAATTCTGAATGAGTAAAATCTGATGGTTAATAACATTAGCAATAACTAGAACAGCAGTTTCCAACCCATAGGCTATGAACAGGCGGTACTAGGTCGTAAACCATTTTATATTAACATTAGTTACATATATTTTTAAAATATTAAATATCAGTAAGTGAAAAAGATTCATTGATTGAACTTTAATGTGATCAGACTCAAATCATTTTTTAAAACTACACCATTATTAACATTCTAGTTAAATATTGGGCAAGACTTTCCAGCAATTTCTAAAATTTCACTTAGAAACTTAATGGGCTGTATTTCGACAACCTGTGTGTCTATGTGAACGAGCTTTTTCTTTTTTAATTTCTTTAAAAAAAAAAAATGGAGAAATAAATTTAATTTTGAGTGATTTAAGGCTAAAACTTTTCATTTTTAATCCAGATATTGATTCTCTTGCGGGGGGGGCAATCCAAAATTACATTAAATTGTTTAACTATTGAATAATCTGGTTCAATGAATTTTTTTTTTTTTTTTTGATAAACAATTGTTTTTTAATAAATAAATTGTAATAATTGACATTTGTGCACATTATACATATATAAATATTGGTGGGCCTCAAAGATTTTCTACGAGATTGGTGGTCCGCAATACTAAAAAGGTTGGGAATCGCTGAACTAGTATATTCATTATTATTGCATTAAAGGTAGACTAGGCAATGAACATGCATCAGTCTAATTATTATTTTCCCACACTAAGATATATTTTTCCAATCCGACCTTTATAGTATATATATACTATATATTATATTATATTATATTATTAATAAGTATTTAATATTGCAATTTTATGACAACAAAAATTAACAGATATCCCTAGATATATTAATATATATTGTCAGTGGTATAAAACTAAATAAAATTAAAATACTAGTATAATTTTTTTAATTTACTCATTTACTTCCATTATTAATTTATAATATTTCCTAAAAAAAAGGGTAGAATTAATTATTTATAGAACTTCGATTATCCGAACTAATTAATGTTAAAGGTAGTCCGGATGATTGACATATCACTTATCATAATTATACTATTGTATGAATTTATTTATTATTTGTAATATTATTTGACATTTTTATCAATAAACTAATAATTTTATTATTAAATTTAACTGAAAAAGATTTAAACTATAATTACAATAGCATATCTTAAAACAAAAAAAAAAAAAAATAGCTGACTTGGCACATTCTTTATTTTATATTGAAAAATTATGATATTTTAGTTTGCTTCATAGTTGATTTTCTCTTTAGAGCAGCTAAATCTCTTAATCTCCTTAAGTACAACAATCAAGTAGTGTTCGATTCTTCTTGCCTCTTATACTTTCAAACACCGAATCTAATGCATCAAAAGCTTCAGAATGAGACGCCCATTTTCATCTTCAGTCAAATTGTCAGTTTCATTTTCTTCTTCTTCAGTATCATCTTCTTTAAATAAGCTATTAACTATTTCATCATCTGAAAGTTATATCCAGGACCATTTATATCCATATGCAACCACTCATTTATATTCTCTTTATCACAATCCCCAAAAACATGAACTTAGTTTACACACTCCTGTATTTCATCTATGTCAACATTTAATTCGACGTTTTGGGTATCCTCAGCTTACTTCAGTAACTTATTCCATGACCTTTCCAAAGTGCAATTTTGTATTCAATTCCATACTTCGACTTGCATGAAGCAGCAGTACAATTTATGAGTTATTAAATGACCAAACTTTTTTTTTTTCTTGTCAGGTTAATTTGACGTCCAGTTGATTGACATTTAGACAATCTAAGTTCTATTGTGTTCCATATATGTATTTATATTAATTTTAAGTGTATGTGAAAATATTTGAGTATTCTATTATTCTAAATAAATTATTAAACCTTATGTTTTGCTTATATCTGTCCATATAATGTTGGTTGACTGTACCAAATTAGAAAATTTAAATTAGACAGTTAAAAAATTGACTAAAAAATTGTTATGTACCAATAAATTATAAAATCTCAAACAAAATATTACATATTTTTGATCTCAATAAAATAATAAATAAATTAAACATCTAATATATTATCCAATGTATATATAGTTTATTAAATTAAATTACATATTTTTGTTTGATTGGTTCTATAAATTATTACTAATTTCAAAATATGACTGTTAAAATTTAGCAAAAATTATAAATACTTTCATAATTAATAAGGATAAGATTTATATTAAAATTTTTTTTTTGAAAATTGATTAAATAATTAAATTTAAAACAAAATTTTTTTTAAGTTTTAAAACAATATTGTGCAAATTCTGTAGTTTTTAATTTAAGCAACAGAGAATTAAGAAAACATTTAATTTAGTATACATAATACATTTTCATTGTCTTGGTAGATTTTTAAGAATTTTATTGTTGGTAATTGTTGTTTATAAAATTAACTTCTGAAAATATTAGTATCAATTTCAACATTATTAGTATTTATACTTTTTGATCAGTACATATGTTTGGTGATATATTTGCTAATGAAGTGGCAAACCCTTTTAATATATTGTCAGCATATTTTACAACCATTGCTACAATAAGTCCTCCAGCCGCTTGTAAACATATCAAATATACTATGTAAAGATCATATCCATAGAAGAACCCTTTATTGGAAATATTGGTCCAGTCTTTAAGGCTCACAATGAAACCTAATGGTATAGAAACAAAACTCAATTGAATATTTCTCATCCATATTGATATTTCAGCTCCTTTTAATATTTTTTCAAAATAAACTCCAGCAAATCCAGACAAAAAAACATGCAACAAGCGCAGACAGTAATCCAATCCACCGATTTTGTTCTGGATGTGTTTTTTGAGTTTTATCAGTTGAATTATTAAGCTGAACAAGAACGACACCCGTTATCAATACTGCTAGTGCAATCCATTGATGTCTCAAAAGTTTACGTTTTAGTATAAGCACTGAGAATAAAGCTGTAGTAAATATTTTAAGTTGATAAGTGACTTGATATGTAGCTGCATCCAAGTTTGAAGTCGAGACATATAACAAATTGTTTTGTATTACATACACTAAAGACGGTATACAAACTTTCAATGTATCCATAGGTTGTTTAATGATTGTTTTGTCTAGTATAGATATAAAATGTTTCCACGATATGGATTCAGTCCGGTAGACCAACACTAAGCATACAATGAGTTTAACTGGCTCAGCCATGAAGACAGCAGTAGACGCAATAAACATGTCACCGGCTCGTGTTCTTGCATAACGCATGCTAAGAGCAACAATAGCATTCTGAAGTGTCAGAGTCACCAAAGCTATCAGCTTGAGAGAATTACGCTTCTGTTGGATTGACTGCATGTTTTCTACTTGTACTTCCAACTGTATTTCTGTTTTTTCTTCAGTCATTAAAAACCAACAGCTTTATTTTTTTTGAAGATAAATAACAAAAGGGTGCTGTTAACTTGATAATTTGAATGTATGGCCTTACATGTAACAAAAATCGAATATCTAGATATATTTTACAAAAAAAAAAAAAAAGGAAATGTAAAAAATCATAACGAAAACGGTTATGAAAATATTCAAAGCTATCATACTAACCGGTGTAATTAAACTGATTAAAATGCTTCGAACTAGGTATTTTTTTAACATTCCTGTTACTGTAATACTGGAGAATAATATTAATTTTGTTAAAATATACACGTAAACACAAAATCGAGTCCACTCCGAATGGCTAAGCCGGAGCCGTGTAAACAGTAAACTGCTATATTATGCATTTATATGTACACTTAACGCAACGTGGACCTGGATTAAACAGCTGACTTTTATCTACCGAAACGTGTTATCAGTACAGATTTCAATATTTTATAACATTCGTCGCCGCGGATTCATTCTAAAAATTCACGAGCTCCTCTTGCTTACCTTATTATTTAATCTGCAATTACTACAACTCTTAACACTGTGAATCGAAAGTTCGCCGCCATGAACACCCGAGTATTAGTACGATTCTATCAGGTAAATCTCAATAGTTATAATGGGTGATGTCGAGTTCCTATAAAATAATAATAGCAATATTATAAATATGTCGTTTTGTCTTTTTCAGACCGTTAAACCTCACCAACCATCAATCCGGTTTCGGTATGGAATCCCAGAAATCAGTATGTACAAAATAGTATTACAAAATCTCTGTTAACTTATTTGAATACATTTTAAGTTTTATATATCTTATGTATATATTTATTCAACAAAAGTAAAATACTACTTTATTTTTTTTTTTCAATTTTTGGCTTAAATATAGTATAGGTTCCACCCAAATTTTACCAATACTTTTATTTTTACTCTGAAAACTATGTATATATTTCTATGTTCTTTAAACTATGTCGAAAAACAATATTTTTTTGAGTTAAGACTGTTTGAAATTTGAGTATGTTTTGCTTATCAGAGGTATACGTTAATTGGTCACTAACATACTTGCTAATTTATTTTTACTGTGAAGTACTCTCGACGTGATCTTTCGTAATAAATCAAACCAAATACTAATTATGAAATAAGAAAATACAATTTTTACAATATGTTGCAAATTAAATGTTTTTTCTGACCTCTAGATATCTATTAAATTTAATTTAATTTAATTTGATTGAAAATTAAAAGTCAATTTTTTTCTTAATCTTGTGCACCTCTATCACAAATGCTATATAAATTCTGAATGAGTAAAATCTGATGGTTAATAACATTAGCAATAACTAGAACAGCAGTTTCCAACCCATAGGCTATGAACAGGCGGTACTAGGTCGTAAACCATTTTATATTAACATTAGTTACATATATTTTTAAAATATTAAATATCAGTAAGTGAAAAAGATTCATTGATTGAACTTTAATGTGATCAGACTCAAATCATTTTTTAAAACTACACCATTATTAACATTCTAGTTAAATATTGGGCAAGACTTTCCAGCAATTTCTAAAATTTCACTTAGAAACTTAATGGGCTGTATTTCGACAACCTGTGTGTCTATGTGAACGAGCTTTTTCTTTTTTAATTTCTTTAAAAAAAAAAAATGGAGAAATAAATTTAATTTTGAGTGATTTAAGGCTAAAACTTTTCATTTTTAATCCAGATATTGATTCTCTTGCGGGGGGGGCAATCCAAAATTACATTAAATTGTTTAACTATTGAATAATCTGGTTCAATGAATTTTTTTTTTTTTTTT